CAAACAAACAAACAAACAAACAAACAGATAAATAAGCAAGCAAGCAAGCTAAAAAAATGCATACGATAACTCCACAGATGTGTTGAGCAAAGCTCTCATTGTCGCTATGCAAGGAGCAGAATCCTAGTCCACATCTGGTGGGCACCCAGTTGGGGAGGCTGTTCATTTATTTGTTTTTGGGCCCGCTGAATGGAGGCAAGCCATCGACACAATAGCTTCACAAGCTGTGTCTGGGCCTGGATGCGTTCTGCATGGGGGCCTGTGCCCCCAGGCCCCGTGCCCCATTCTGTTCCGCCTTCTTTCCTTTCTCTGCTAGGTTGTCTCGGTCTTCTGCCTTCTTGGGCTCTGGGTGCCCCGGGCCATGACGCTGGTGGAGATGGCCGTTGGCTCGTGAGTAGCTCTCCAGGGTGATCCTCTGGAGCTGAGTGGAACTGACACTTGGGGCGGGGATGGGGCTGAGGCAGGACCTGTGGGCCCTTTCTGATGAATGGGGATGGAGAGATGGCTGAAGACCATTGAGATGAAGGATGGGGCAGTAGAGGCTCCCTCCTCTGGCACCCCCAAGATGATGGAGAGTTGGAGAGTTGTTGGAGAGCTGGAGCTCATCCCTGGGGTGAGCAAGCATCTTCCACCACACCCAAAGACATCAAGCTAGGGTTGAAGGGGTGGATCTACCCAGGTTACATGGAAGCAGAAACCCATCCTTCAACAAAAAGCAAAGCCAGAAGCTTGTTGTGATGTTCCTTGCTCCACTCTTTGCATGTTGCCTTGTCAACTCTCTCCGCCTAACGATAGGGCCGGCCTGGGCTGGCTTGGCTTCTCCCTATCTAGGTACTTCGCTGTCTGCTTTTACCTGATGATGCTGGTCATGGTAGAAGGCTTTGGGGGGAAGGAAGCCGTGATCAAGGCCTTGAAGGACACCCCCATGCTGATCAGGACGGGGCCTTGCTGCTGTTGCTGTCTCTGTTGCCCACCCATTATGATGACCAAGTGAGTGGAGGGGGCTGGAAAGACGAGGCAGCTGCGAAATTGGCTGCGGAAATCTGCACAGCCCCCAGAGGGCAGCAAAGGGCCACGGGTTTGAGGGCAACTAGTGGTCACCACAATTTCTGCAGGCCTGTCATGAAGGAAACCTTGTGGGGCTTCTTCGTGGGCTGGCAGCCCAAAGGTGTCACTGGCTGGCCACCCTGGGCAGCAAGATGGTGATCAGATGGGCCTCTGGTTGGTCCAGCGCAGCTCTGTAGGTTTCAGGGTAGGAGGGAAGAGTCAAGTTGATGGTGATGATGACGATGATGATGATCGCTGAACATCACAAGCAACAAAGTAGTGGAATTAAAATTTCACTGCCTGACCAAAAAGGGTTAAGAATAGCCAGAGACAAATGGGAGGAGAATACGCCGCTCCACACCACACACCCTGGTCTGTAAAGTAATCCCATGGGCTGCATTCACACAACATGTTAAGCTACAACAAACTAATCAAGGTTAATGTTAACCAAGCCGAGCATGCTGTAAGAATACAACTGCAAAGATTTTATATGACTAGCTAAGCATGTTGTGATAATAATAATAATAATAATAATAATAATAATAATAATAATAATAATAATAATAAAAAAATAATAATAAATTAAACCTATATGCC